AAACTAATGAAACTGACCTGGACAAAAATGATGTTCCTCTAGAAAAGATTGTAAATAATTGGACAATAGGGACATGTTAAACTTCAGTGTGTCTCTAATTTGCATCACAGGTTCTTCAAACTTGTCTTCAGTCAGTCTGTCTGTTTAAAGGGCGACATGTGTCATTGTGCTGTTTGGAGACATGATGGACACAACACTGAACATGGACCAGAGAAAGAGAAGAAGAGAACTGTGTCAGGAGACGAGAAAGAACATGAGAGACAAGCAGGTTAAAGATAAAGACAATAAGATCATCTCCAAGCAGCTTGATGTTCCTGTAATTACAGTTACACATGTTCTTCACAAGTTTAAGCTCCACAAGACTGAAGCCAACCTCCCTGAACATGACTGCAAGAGGAAAATGATGACAAAGAGATGGATCATACGAATGGAACCAAAGAGCCCAGAACAACCTCCAAACAAATGAAATGTGAAGTTGAAGGACAAAGTACATCAGTGTCAGATCACACCATCCATCAGTGTTTGAGCCAACGTGGACTTCATGTGAGGACACCACTGCTGAGAGCAAATCATAAAAAAAGTGAGACTGGAATTTGTCTCAGTGCAGATTGACAAACCACAAAGCTTCTGGGTGAATGTTCTTTGGACAGATGAGACAAAACTGAAGCTCTTTGGCAAGACACATCAGCTCTATGTTCACAGATGCAAAAATGAAGCAGACCAAGAAAAGAACTCTGTCCCCACTGTGAAACATGGAGGAGGTTTGGTTTTGTTCTGGGGCTGTTTTGCTGCATCTGTGCCAGATGCAGCAAAACTATTAAGATATTTTGGAACAAAATGTGTTGTCAGAAAGCTCTGTCTCAGTCGTAGGTCATGGTTCTTCCAACAGGATAATGACCCATAAAAACACACAGATAAAAACACACAAGAATGACTAAGAACAAAACACTGGACTGTTCTGGAATGTTCTTCTGTGAGCCCAGATCTCACTTCTACTGAACATCTGTGAAATGAGCTGAAACATGCGTCTGGAGAAGGAACCTTCAAACCTGAGACAACAAGAACAGTTTGCTCACGTGGAGTGGGTCAAAATACCAGTTGACCAGAGCAGAAGTCTCATTGACAGTTACAGAAATCATTTGTTTGCAGAGTTTGTCTCAAAAGGTTGTGTAACAAAATATTAAGTTAAAGGAAACATCAGTTTTGTCCAGCCCAGTTTCATTATTTAGTTTTTTCTAATAATTCTGTTGAACCACAGGTGAAAAACAATGTTTGATTTTTGTTGGACAATTTTCAGTACATTTTTATTTACTATTGCTTTTACCAGTTTCAAGTTATTTCAGTGATGATTATTGATTTTTCTTTCATTGTCAGAGGGGAACAAACAATATTATCCACGATTGTATTTGTGCATGCATGTATATATGTATGTATGTGTATATATATTTAGACTGGATATTTTAGGTGTGTATGTGTCAACCACGTGATTATATAAAACATTTGGGGTTGGACATGATAAGTCTTTTAAACTTCACCCTCGTCTTTTGACGTCCCAAATCTGTACATGTCCATATCTGTTTTCTCTAATACTGTTGCTGTTGGACATTGCTCAAACAAATAAAATAACTGAATGAATGAAAAGTGTCTATTTTTTTTGGTATTTATTTGTAAAAAATCTGAATAAACTCATGATTCACAAGGTTCAAGCTCCGATATGTTCTGATCTCTGTTCTAATGGAGTTTCCTCATCACAAACACACCTGGAGTTTAACACAAACCCTGCACATTTAGGCTGAGTTCTTCTCTCAGACTGAAATCACTCTGTTCCACCTTGTGATGTCATCATTTGGTGATACAGAAAGTGCTCCACTGTGTTTTTAAACTCCACACACCTTTACTAGAATAATTTTTCAGTTCTGGAGTTGCCAATCTTTACAGAACTAAAGGTAAAAGGAGACATTCACTTGAAAACTACCACTTCATGACATCACAAGGTGGAACAGAGCATTTGGAGCTTTGGAGATGTAGACAGAGTGATAAATTAGGATTACTGAAACATGTGTGAATGAAACAAAACTCCAGGTCTGTTTTTGAGGAGGGAACAACATTCTTACGGCTAAAAGTCTTGAATCTGTCTTTACATAAATACGTTGTTTTCTAGTACTTTTTTTCTGCATAAATGACAGTTTTGTGCATGAAGTCAGATGCAGAAACACAGAGATACATACAGTTTTGAGAGCTTTGACTACGCCTCATTTTTAATGGGAGTCAATCATCAGCAGAGGTTTTTAGTCGACCACAGCCCTACAGATATTTACGGAGTATTTTACAGGAGGACAGTGTACCTCCTCCCCAGATCTGTGTGACTTCCTTGTCCAACAAAGAGCCTTGTGGCACTTTAAGCTGATAATCTTCTCAACACCAATGTCTTATCACCCACTTTGTAGTCGTCAAAATACAGCAGGTTTGTCTTCATTTTGAGACTGGGGGATATTAGATACTAATTGATACTAACCAGTATCAAAACAGATTTAAGCAAGTACTGATACTGACAAAAACCTTGATCAATCTTTCCTGTGTGTAAGTGAACTAGTGTAAAAGCACGTGGAACTGTCACCCTGGGTGACAGTTCTGAAGATGGCTTGCAGCTAGCAGTCGAAACATGTCAACAAGGTAAATACACTTTACTGCATTGACTTTAAAAAGAACCTAAGAAGTTAAAGTATACAAGAAGACAAAATTAACATCATTGGCTTTTTAAAAGAATCATTTGAGAATTGGAATCAGTATTGAGTATCCAGTCAATTCTTTAGTAAAAAAATCAAGCTTGAGATTTGAGAATGGTGATAACACTAATTCTAACTATAATTGATTTGTTAACATTTTATAAGCTGCATTTAAGAAATTCCAAGCATAAACTCCTCCTCTATCTCTGGGTGTCAGATGCCCTCCCATCCTCCTGTGTCCCTGTGTGTCAGTGCGGTGGGGGCAGGTGGTGTACTATGATACATACAGAATATTATTTCTTATCAAAATACCACAGATTTAATGGTACATAAAAAGTGCACTGGAATATACAGTATTTCTTTTATAATGGCTTTCATTTTTTTGATGATTTAATTCATTTTGATTTTAACTTTCAATATCTTGCATGCAGAAAGTTTAAACAAAGTAAAAATACACACACATGTACTTGTTGGATCATAATTGTTGGTCTCAGTCAAGTTCAGACGTGATTTGGTCCTGGTCCAGTCCTGGACTAGTCCTGGTCTAGTCCTGGTTTAGTCCTGGTTTAGTCCTGGTCTAGTCCTGGTCTAGTCCTGGTCTATTCCTAATCTAGTCTGGTCTAGTCCTGGTGCAGTCTTGGTCTAGTCTAGGATTTGTTCCAACTTTACAGTTTTGTTTTTTGTTTTTGTTTTTTCAGTCATTTTCACACATTTTTGAAACTTGGATCATTTGATTCAAACCTAAACAGAGGCGCAGGTCAAATTATTTTGAACATTTCTCTTGAGTTCACTTCTCAGGTTCTTTCTCTCAACACTGGACACAGATCTCATTCACAAACACATGAGCAGAGAATTCAATTTGGTTTTGGCCCAAACTCTGTCACTGTCAATAGAAACTCACCCAGAACAGCAAAAGTGCACAATTTGTGAACACTTCAAATCTAGTGGCCAAAGATTTGACACAAGTCAAACATGGAGGAGGACATGTATGAGGATGTACATGACACGTACATACAGACTTTCAGACACATGTACACTGTTCTTGTATGTTTGTTTGACATAATAGAGTACAGACAGGTTGGAGCGACTCTGTCACATGAGAGAAACAGAACAGAAAACACCTGAGCACAGACTCCATGAGCTGATGTGATGATTTATCAGAGATGGAATTATGTTTAGAAAAACTGTAACCTTGTTTGGGATTCTGTTTGAGTGGTTTTGTTTATGTCCATTTTAAATAGAGAAGTGTGTCAAAGTGATGGAAAAAAATGTCATTTAAATTTGGCTCCAGTTTAGATGTTGTAGAAAAGAACAGTCAGACGTGTCTTAAACCAGTCGACCAAACTCTGACGTACAACTTCATTCAGTTCAAGAATGTCGACAGGCTCTGTGCTCTAAGTTTCTCAAATCGAGATTGATTTTTTTACCCTCTCGTATGTTTTCTGCAATGAACCAACATACTCAGATTTTTATTTGACTTTAAAGGCCGATATGAAACTATTTTCTGATCTCTGTTCTAATGTAGTTTCCTCATCACAAACAGTTGTGTTTGATTTCATTCACACACATTTAACACACAAACCCTGCACATTTAGTTTTTTATTCCATGTCATGTGGTGGGCTTCACTGTGTTTTTAAACTCCATACACCTTCACTAGAATCATTTGGATGAATTTCCTGTCTTTACTCAACTAAAGGAGCTGTTCACTTTAAAACTACAACTTCATGACATCACAAGGTGGAACAGAGCATTCTGAGCTTTGGAGATGTAGACCAGACATGTCAAACTCAGGCCCGGGGTCCAAATTTGGCCCAAGATATAATTATATTTGGCCTGCGAGATCATATCAAATATGTTTTGGAGCTGCCCACCGGCTACAGATCGACTATAGAAACATTATTGATTTAAAATGTTATTATTTTATATTCTGCTTGTTCTGGATTCAATGTTTAAGCAAAACTATTATTAAACATTTATTTTAATAAGAAAATGTTTCACATTACATATTTCAAAAGAACAGAAAACATGCAGATGTTGTGGAAATTCTTCAATAAATATTTAGTTTGGGCCACCAGTTTTTAATTCTGGTCCGTGTGAGTTTGAGTTTGACACTTCTGATGTAGACAGATTAATAATAGAGTCAAACGCGTGAATGAAACAAAACACAACTCCAGGTTTGTTTTTGAGGAGGAAACAACATTATTACAGGTGTTAAATGTCACAAGAATGTCACTTCAAATGAAACAGTTATTGTTTTTCCACGCAGTACTCGCCTTGATCGTGTCGAGTGGGTGTCCAGTCAGCAGCAGACACGCGCCCCCGACGCCCCCGGCCACAAAGTTCTTGAGCGGGGAAACTCTGTCAGCGGCGAGTCTCTCCTGCCCCATCCTCTCCGTCCCTCATGGCCCACAGACTGCGCCTTTACCCGGCCCAGCTCCTGATGCTGGCCCGGCCCGTCCCTCCGCTGCTCGTGCTGTCAGCGGACATGGGAGTGTCCCGGGTGGGCTCGGTTCTCACGCGCACTTTACGCACGGACACCGCGCCTTTTGGACTTTGGCGTCGCTGTTCAGCTGTCAACGGCGCGCAACTTTAAACAAGTTCACCTAAAAATGAAAATAGAGTAACTGAGAGATTCTGTCACCCAAATAAACACGCAGCTGCTTTCTTACAATGTGCCACGTTCAAATGTGTTAGTAATAATAAGACTTGCATGCTCAAATGTACTTGGACAGTTTAGTTAAGGCCAATTTACGGTCCAGCGTCAAATCGCAGGGCCTCTGCGTCGACCGACGTGCACCTCCGAAATGTTCTAACTCTAGGCTAAAGTAATTCACTGCCAAAACACTAGGGGGCGACGATATCTGTCCATTCATATGTATGGTCTGTGTTTGACCCGCACACGTATAATCTTTGAAAAGTTTAACATGAACCATCTCTAACACGACAAAAGCACAGAACAGACTCACCAATACAATATTGGTAGTAGTACAATATTCCTCTGTCACAGAAAGAACACTCACATTCTACTGAGTCGTGTCCTTTTTAAGTCTGAGAGAAGCTGACCTGGTACCAGGAGCGAGCTGTTTTATGAGGCTTTGTTTCTGTAAGTTAGACATGCGGCTTTAAGTTTCGTTTCTGTAAAACGTAAACAAATATGCGCAAAGCTGCATTAAACACATTATTTCTCAATATAAACTGAAAGAAAGAAAAGCCGACAGGAAATGTCTACAGAGGGTGGTACGAGGACCAATCCCAGCTCTTATCATCTGCGTCGCTTCCCCTGCTGTCTGCGGCGACTGACCAGACCAGGCCCTGCTCAACTTCTGACACCTGACAGGATCAGGCTTTGACAAGCCGATATGGCCACAAAAACTATAATATATGCATAATGTCATATAAAATGCCATTTTTATGACATTTTAACATTTCATTTCATTATCACAAAAAATTCTACATCACATTAAATGTATGAAAAGATAATGTTGAAAAAATGACTCATTTTCAAAATTTTTCAGTTTTCATGATACATATATTTTACATATTAATATCACATATTCAATGAAAATTACAACCGAATGAATTTCTGCACAGCTCACACCTCAGCACGTACAGCCATGACCTGGAATCACCATCGAGGCCTTATTTCAACTGTTTCAGAACAATGAATGATTATCTTTACTGTTGGAAAAAGCATATGACAAATATTTGTAGACATTATTTTCTGAAGGAAACAAAGAAAAGTCCTGTGTTTGTGTGGGACAGAACAGGCTGCTTTTGGAGACGTTTGCTCAGGGTGTGACAGCTGCAGGGGAATTTGGTGAGCTCCTGTGGCCTAAACATCCTCAGGCTTTTGATGGTTGAAGAACCGAACCTAAAGTCACTAGTAGAATATACCAGGACAAATAGAGGACTTGTCCTGGGGCAGGGAGGACTGAGATGATAGAGTCCCTTTAGGTTTAAAGCAACTAAATTAATTTGAGCATTGAAGCTGGAAACCCAAATGAGACACTTATCATGATCATGATGGTGAGAGGCAAAAGATGAAATGAGAAGATAAATAACAGAAGTCTTTTATCAGTTTTTGGTTGCTGCAATTTCCTGCAAAGGAGACTGTGAAGCATCTCACACGTTGCTCTCGAAAGAAACAGTACATCAGCAGTCAAGTGGTTCTCTAGTGTGTCACAACTAAATAGAGTAAAAGTTCCAAATCGTTTTCTTGTAAATGAGTTTCACAAATGCCATGGGTATTTGTGGATGTGTTAGACTCTGCATTAAGGACAGTAGTAGAGCTAGAAATAAAACATGTGACTCTACTTTGTCTATTTCAAGATAATTATAACATAAACTATATCTAAAAAATATTAAAATATATTCATCTGTAAGCAAATGTTTGATATGTTTTAGTTCATTTGCCTACTGTGGTCCAAAGCAAGAAAAATATCTGGCAAAGGATTTTTTTGCCATTCATTATTGAAAATTTAAAAAAAAAAGACATCTGAGTGTGCTATGCATTTTTTTCACTTTTATTTTGCTGTTCCTTGCATTTGCACCTCTACAGGAACTTTGGTGTGTGTTTCATGAAGTTCATTAGTCAAACATATTGTACTTTTCTGTAAAGTGAACTGACCCAATTAACATTAACCAAAACATATTTCACTTGAAGAATGAACTTAGACTTAGACAAATTTTAGTTTTATTATTATTATTTTTTATTATTAATCATTGCATTTGTATAGCGCCTTTCAAGATTCCCAAAGCGCTTTACAGTTCATTGTTTGTTCACTCCACACTTTGCGGTGGTGAGCTACTATTGTAGCCACAGCTGCCTGTGGCAACTGTTGTTGCCTAAAAACACAACAACAGTTTTTGCCACTGGCGCCCCCCTGTGGCTTCTGATTTTCCCAGGTCTCCCATCAATCTGAGTTACCTTGTGACTGTCATGTTATTGGAGATGGTTTAGAATATTAGAAAATTCACAGGTCTGTCAGCCTCCAGACATGTGTTCAGGCTCATGGTGCCCCTTTGGCGTGGGTTCTCATGTGCACCGTGCGATTATAATTCTGTGCAAACGCTTTGTTACAGATTGAACACCTGTAAGGTTTCTGTCCCGTGTGAACTCTGACATGTCTCCTGAGAGTTGAAGCGTCCGAGAAGGTTTTCTTACAGAAAGAACAGCTGAATGGTTTTGCTCCTGTGTGAATGTTATTGTGTATTTTTAAATAATATTTACACGTGAATTTCTTTTTACAGATTGGGCACTGGTGTTTGTTCCGGCTGAGAGATGGTTTAGAGTTTAGAGAGTTGGTTCTCATCTGGACTTGGTCTGCCTCGAGCTCCATATATGTTGCTGAGTAGCTGAATGGTTCCAAGTCTTCATCATTGGCCATCTCTGGAAGGAAATATGTCTGTGTGCTGATGTCCTCCCCCTGTGTCTCGTCTCTGGGCTCAGTCTGGTGAAACAGTGACAACTCTTCTTCTTTCACACAGACAGAACTGGACTCCTGCACAGATCTGAAAATAAAATTGAAATCAAATCTTAAAAAAATGTCTGTATGTAGCTTATGTAAGAAAACAAAACTTTTCCTATATCAGTTTGGAGTTTTCAAAAGCATAAACTGGGACATCCTCAATTTGGGGAGGTTGGTAATAAGAATATTGGGAATCAAATGCATAATTAAGTAAATTTTTTCTTGCACTTGGCCCATTCATGATTAACAAGTGAGTCAGCATTAGGGGTGTACATAAATACCAATATATCGTATCCTTTAATGTGATGATACAATATCGATATCGGGTACTTCTGTGCTTTATATCACCAAGAGTATTTTGTTGTATATTTTACTACATCATTTTGTTACAGCTACAGTTTTGTTGCTTGTTAGTGGAAGGAAACTCATTTATGCGACACATTTGACATTTCACTGTTTTGATGAGAAAAATGTTTGTGTTTCATATGAACTTCGCACAAGATGTGGTTTAACAAAACTTTTAGTATCACAGACATCACAGACAACTTTTTAAAGGCTTCTACAGGGTTAGACTCAGGGTTCCCACTTCTTTTCACTGACAACATTTCAAAACTTTTCCATGAGTTTTTCATGACCTAAAGTGAATTTTCCATTACGTTACAGCACATGTGTAGAACTGATCAGATGTTTAGGGCTAAATATGAAATTTCACCTCACCTTATGGTTTGGGATTATAGTTTTGAACATTCAAAATACTGTCAGTGCATTTATTGTCATCTCTTTTAAACAAGGCACATACGTAATATAATATACCGGTAATATAAAATTAGGCCCTATGTTCCCACATTTCCTTTATCATCAATTTGCATCAGATTTTATCCCATTTCTCCCAATTTGGTCGTAAATTACACCCAACCTATTCTCCAGCAGCAGCACTATAGATGTAATGTAGTGTCGTGCAAAGGATCCTAGGTTGAAATGGCTCTGAATCATCTCCTTAAATGCGTTTTAAAAATAAAAATGACTTGACTTAGAGTTTAATTTTGAAAAAACTCTTAGAAATAAGAAAAATCTTAGAAATAAAAGAGCCTGGGGAACATAGAGCTGACCCTGAAAGAAGGAGGATACTAAAATTTAGGGCTGGTACCATTAAGAAGTTGCTGATATGATACATACCTTGATACATAGGCCACGATACGATACATATCTCAATACAGTGAGCTTTTGGTTCAATACGATACATTTCAAATTGATTCGATACAGTTCAATAAAACATAAAGGCTAAATGATGTCTGTGACACTAAAAGTCTTTGTTAAACCACTTGTTGTGCAAAGTTCGTATGAAACATAAACATTTTACTCATCAAAACAGTGAATATAACAAATAAATGAATTTCCTTCCTCTAAATAAGCTACAAAACTGTAGCTCTGTAACTAAATCATTTAGTAAAATATACCAAAAAATACTCTATTTTAGTGATATCGATACAGTACCCCACGATACTGATACTGTATCATCACATCAAATTATAAGATATATCGATATTTCAATATTTTTGCACGCCCCTACTAAAACTCCATGACTTTTCCAGGAAAATGACACATTTGTGTAAACCAGGCCATATCTCCATCTGCAGAGAACAGATAAGATTAGACATTTCACTAAAACAAAGTGTAACATGATTATATTTAAGATTGTACAAAAATTCAACTAATCACATTCCAGTTCCTATTTTTCAGTAGAGTTAAATGATCTTACTGTCGCAGCTGCTCCTCCTCGTGTTTGATGCCCTGCTCCTCCGGCTCCTCTTTAACCACACCACCACCACGGATCTTAAGGCTCACTCCCTGGTTCAGTCCCTGGTCCAGATCTTGGCTCAGTCCCTCGCTCAGTCCGTGGTCCAGGCCGGGTGCAGTGCTCTGAACAGCCGCCCTGATGAGCGTGACTCTGGGGTTGAGCACCGCCTGCAGCAGCTCTCGGTTCCTCTGGTTCTCTTCTTTGGATCGGCGCAGTTCCTCCTCATACTCCGCTATCGTTCTCTCAAACAGCGCAAATATATCTTCCGCAGCCGCACAGAGGCGCGCATTCACCAGGTTTCTGAGCGTTTGTCCCGCAGACATTTTGATTCTCTCTTTCTCCTCTTGTTTTTAGCTTTAGCATCTATGAGCTAACAGTGAGGCGGGCGACTTCTTCTTCTTCTGCTTCTTCTTCTTCTTCTACTTCTTCTAGTGGAGTAAACAACTAAAGGCGCATTATCGCCATCAACTGATAAGGAGTGTAAACTGAAATGCGATTTACTAATAACTGGACTGAACCCAGGACTAAATCAGGATTAAACCAGGTCCAAACGCAAGACTAAAACAGGACTAAACCAGGTCCAAATGCAGGACTAAACCAGGACTAAACCAGGTCCAAACGCAAGAGTAAACCAGGTCCAAATGCAGGACTAAACCAGGTCCAAACGCAGGACTAAACCAGGACTAAACCAGGTCCAAACGCAGGACTAAACCAGGTCCAAATGCAAGACTAAACCAGGACTAAAACAGGTCCAAACGCAAGACTAAACCAGGACTAAACCAGGTCCAAACGCAGGACTAAAACAGGACTAAACCAGGTCCAAACGCAGGACTAAAACAGGACTAAACCAGGTCCAAACGCAGGACTACACCAGGTCCAAACGCAGGACTAAAACAGGACTAAACCAGGTCCAAACGCAGGACTAAACCAGGTCCAAACGCAGGACTAAAACAGGACTAAACCAGGTCCAAACGCAGGACTAAAACACGACTAAACCAGGACTAAACCAGGTCCAAACACAGGACTAAAACAGGACTAAACCAGGTCCAAACGCAGGACTAAACCAGGTCCAAATGCAGGACTAAAACAGGACTAAACCAGGTCCAATCGCAGGACTAAAACAGGACTAAACCAGGACTAAACCAGGTCCAAACACAGGACTAAAACAGGACTAAACCAGGTCCAAACACAGGACTAAAACAGGACTAAAACAGGACTAAAACGGGACTAAACCACGCTTTGCTGACGCATTCGTCCCAATAGACAGCAGTAGTCAAGGCGAGATCTACCGTTTATTTCTATGACTAATAAAAAAAAGAAAATAAATTATACAACTAACAACAGTGACCACATAATAACTAAAGCAAAATAATGAATTAATCATGTTAATCAAATTAATATCACCAATAAGTCAAATTTCATTTTAAGGTTGGGTGACCAGATTTTCAAAATTTGAACCGGGGACAAACCTGGGTTGGGATGGTTGGTATAAATAAAATAGTGAAAAGAGTGTGTAACATTGTGCATTCTCGTGTCAGTCATAACCTGAGGGACTTCTGGGACAAATCAATAATCTGGACAAGGGACACAGGGCTCAGACTGGGACTGTCCCGGGGAAACAGGGGCGCCTGCTCTCACTATTATCCCTATAGTTCCTCTTTTATGTATAGTATAATTTAATCCTGAATGTCCAAACCTTAATCTAGAAGTTTCCCACTGTATACCTCAATGATCCTACTTTTGTTGTTGTTGTTGTTGTTTTGTTATTGTTTTTTTCCCCAAAGTTTTTTTTTCTTTTTCCGTTTATGGGCGGGGCGAGTTTTACGTCATCAGTAAGCGACATTGCACCTCTAGCGGGAATTCGACTGTTTGGAAATACGTTTTCTTAAATATTCTGACTATATTTTGTGAAAGTTGATAAAGACACAGGTTAGTAAACGGGGACTGCAACAAGATAACAATTACATCGCTTTGAAACGAGAAGAAACCGTAGATGAGCGCTGGAACCGTGTTTTTGGATGCAAACCGTCCAGAAAAGCTCTTCCTTATTTAGCGTTACACGTTTCGTCCAACTTTTTAACTCATCAGAGCGTTTAAATGATCAGATTTATGCTCGGGGCAATCTAGATCTACCATGACCCAAAGGAAAAGACAGTCTAACACGCAGGGCGCCTCTCAAAGCAAGGTACTGAAGCCATTTTGTGAGGATTTGTAGGCAGTTCTTTGGGTAAACTGATGAATCCTGTAACGTTTTTGTTCTAATGTTAGAGACGCTCTGAGCCGCTGGGGGAAGATGAGAGTGACTTGGCTTTCAGTCAGCCCAGCACATCACAGGTCCAGAGAGGCCTGGAGAGGTTCAACAGCACACAGATGGAGCAGATGGTAATTCACATGGACAAGTGTCACTTTATGATTAACCAGAGATGTGATTAACATGCAGCTTTTCTGAAAAGAAACCCGTCACAAGCTTGTTTCCATGGAGACATCATTGGTTTAATAATAATCTTAATTACTACTACTACTACTATTACCTTATTACCTTAACTCTCCAGTGTGAAACTGAAAAAAATGACTTCATAGTTTGTTTTGTCCAGACAAAAGTAGAATAGGCAGGGCTCCCAAAATCTGGCAACTAGTTGCTACAATGAAGAAATATTTGTATGTAAAGAGTCATGCAAAGACAAAAGACAAAAAATGGACATGATCATTATTTACTCGATTTTCTCCACACTTTCGTCCATTCTAAGAAAAACACGTCACCAAGCTCCAGTCATCATGTGTTTGTTTGAAATGATCTAGAAGAGTTTTGGATTTCCTGTTTAGTGTTGATCAGGATCGTGCGACTTCCACAGTGAAACAGTTTAACACAAGTGACTTTGCAGTACAGTGTGTTCAGTATGAAGAAATACACACAATACTGTCACAATAAAGATCACTGAAGAATAACTGAATACAAATTTTATTTATTGAATGTGTTAAGATCCTGTGCCAAGGTCACAATAGAAAGGAAGCCAGTGGTTGGATTTTAAAGTAAAATATGATTATGAACTAAATGAACAAAAAACAAACATACACTGTTTCTGCCTTTGTCTTTGCACGACTCCTTATTTTTGGCTCATGATACAAAGGCAGAGAACAGGAACTGACAAATAAAGGTCAAAGGGCAATTTTCAATATTTTTCATGTTATTTATTAAGATGATAAAGGAGGTCTCAAATATCCCAAAATGACATGAAATAGTTTTTGAGCAAACATGATGTTAGAGCATTCTGCCTTTGTAGGACCGTATACATAATATATACATATAGAGTTTTTCAAGATTCTTAAAGACGCTTTACATGAAGAGACAAAGGAAAAGAAAAGAAATTAGACAGTTAATGAAAGGTGGTTTTGAAGAGCTGGGTGTTTAGGGCTTTTTTAAACATGGGGAGTGTGGACGAGTCTCTGATGTGTTTGGGGAGGGGCCCTGCAGGAGCTCAGAGAGGTTGGTGGGGGCCAGGTTATGGTGAGGAGTTTGAACCAGCCAGTGGAGATCTCTGAGGTTTGTCTTAATGGCATCACAGAATGGCACTGAACTAATGTATGTTGCATTTATTCAATTGCAGGTGTTTACGGTAATGCTCCAAAATACATTAAAAACAATCATTCCTGTAGTGATTGAGCTCACTTCTCCACAGATCTGATCTGTAACTTGGCCTGGTGGCATTGCAGGTTTATCTCTATAAAAATAGATAAGTTTATTGCCATACTGTGGGGCATTCTGGACAAAGCAAGCAGGTGGCAGACCCTCCACCAGAAAATTGCATAGTGCACATTTAACCTGAGCAGAGGTGGGAAATAAAGTCAATAATGTCAGTATCATTCTTTGATTATGATCTTGTGTTTGCACAGACAGCGGAGGTGATCCAGTACATTTTGATGAAGGACCAGAAGAAGATTCCAGTCCGCAGAGCAGGTGAGTGTGTGTCTGTCTTGACGAGGGGTGGGACACATTCAAATCATTCTATAAATATATTTGGGGGTTGGAATCTTAGGTGGGGCTTGTTTTTCCCTGTGTTTGAGTGGGTTTCCCCCATCAACTCAAAACATCCTTAATAAAGGTCACATCCTCCAGCTGAGGTACTCTTGACTTAACCTTGCACAGCAAGATTCTCTCATATTTGTGAGTTCACAAACCCATGAGACTCAAGAGATACTTACTCTCTAAGGTTTAAATTCACAAAACCCTTTCAAATGGATTGCTTTTCTCTTAACTGGATTTAACTAAGAGGTAAAAGTGGATTTTTTTTTACCCTTTGCTGTTGTGACGCTTCAGCCGGTCAATTTTAAATATTCATCGTGACGTCACATTAGTTTCCCTGCTGCTTTCAGTTAGAGCCGTTCCAGAATGAAGAATGTGTAAAACTCAGTTCACAGTGACACACAATCTGAGCCTGGTTAGTCCTGACCAAGTTTTGGACATGGGTCAGGTGTAACCCAGAGAGGCCAAACAATGGGTTAGATTTATAGAGGGCTAAGTTCTTATAGTCTGATAAAAATGACTATGACACTGTTGTTTTCAGATCTGGTGAAACATGTGCTCAAAGACTACAAACACATCTACCCTGAAATCATGAAGGGAGTGCTGCAGACGTTTGATCAGGTCAGTGCTGTTTGGAGGAGTTTGTGAAATCCAGAGTTCTTACACGTACATGAGAGGTAATGGATTGTCTTCTGGATGTCCAGGTGTTTGGGCTGAAGCTGGTGGAGATCGACACAAAAAACCACCTGTACATCCTGATCAACAAACTGGAGCCACAGGAAGGAGCAGCACCGCTCCAGTCAGTGTTTGTGGCATTTAGCTGTAGCCTTTAGCCTTAGTTTTGTTAGATGATTTGATTGATTGATTTTTATTTATTTATTGCTTTTATGGTTCCAGAGGCCCTGCTAATCCAAAGATGGGGCTCCTCTTTGTCATTCTGAGTGTGATTTTCATGAAACGTGGAGCTGTCAAAGAAAGTGAGTATATTTAATGTTTATTTTACATTTTACATCGGTCAAAAGTCTCTATCCCAGCACAACATCTGCAGATGAACTAAACTGGGAGAATGGACCCTAAAGGGCCCATGTTACATTATTGTCTTCATGTTTTAACGTGGTTTCCTCAGCACAAACAGTGGAGTTGTGTTTTGTTTCATTCACATGTTTAACACACAAACCTGCACATTCCTCTAACTTGTGATGTCATGTGGTAATACAGGAAGTGCTCTACTGTGTTTTTAAACTCCACATACCTTCACTAGAATCATTTGGATCATTTAAGACCTGGAATTGCCGATCTCTACTGAACAAAACTTAAAAACTGCCACTTCATGACATCACAAGGTGGAACAGAGTATTTGAGCTATAGAGATGTAGACAGACTAATAATAATTACTCAAACACGTATGAATGAAAGAAAATCAGTTTTTTTGAGGATGGAACATTTTAACGTGACTTATATATTTTATGTAATAAAGGAGTTTTTAATGGAAATGATCAGGACCTGTATTTATTTAAAACTTTACTGTGGTTTATTCTGGTCTGGTGTTTTTTTTTCAGATGTCATTTGGAACTTGTTGAAGAAGCTGCATGTGGATCCTGGGTAGGGTTGAACTATTTTGAAAAAATATTTTTTTCTGAGTTTTGCAGTTGCAATTAGATTTGTAATATATGTTTAAACTGAGGGTTCTGTTCTGAGTTCACATTTGAAATGACTCCAGGAGCATTATCATTTTGGAGAAGACTGAAATACTATTACATTTTGGCTCATGTTTGTAGAGGTCAAAAGTTCAGGGTTAGACACTTTTACACAGAACAAGACCCCATGGAAACACAGGAAGGGCATCTGACACAGAAGAACGTTTTGTCAAACTACTGGGTCAAACGGGCTTGGCTGAATCTTGTCATATTATGTGACACTAATAGTTTAGGAAACAAGAAGTTGATGAATGAGGTAATAGTTTATCCTTGCAGATAAAGAGTTAACAGTGTGAATGTGTTTGTGTCCAGAGAAAGACATGAACAGTTTGGAGATGTGAAGAAGCTGGTCACAGATGAGTTTGTGCGTCAGAGGTGAGTCTCACTCTTGTTGCCTGTAGCTCAGTGGGTTAATGCACTCACCCTTCAGCTAGGTGGTCGCCAGTTCGATTCCCACTGTAGACTGACGGTGGTGTGTTCAGAGCCAGTGTCTCTCAGACCATAGACTCGGGTTTATACCACACCACAGAGAAACAGGAGTGTGGACTGAACAGAGCACTACAGCAGTGTGACTGGACCCACTGACTCCTCACAGCAACTCACAGCAACTCACAGCAAGTGTGATCGTGAAATCGTGATGTTATCAGTCATTTTAAAGTTCAAGAATTCACTACTTGCTTGTCTCCATGAAGATGTCATTGCTTTGCCCTGAATATTCCACAGTATAGCATTAAACATATCGACCTCCCTGAAGATATGTAGATGATTCCACCAGTAATGACCTGTAATTGACTAAACATGAGATAGATATGTTTAATGCCTTACTCTGGAACATTTCAGGCAAAGCTATGACATCCAAGCAATATGTAGTGGACCCTACAACAGAATAGTCTTTTGCAGCGTGTCCCATGTCCCAAAATACAGTTTGGTTCCTTCATGTTCCTCTGTCTACTGCACTTTCAAACAAGTTTTTGAAGTCATTAAAGCCAGCTTACTGTATTGCACCAGCCAAAACATGTGTAATGAAGAAGAAGAAAAAAAAACACTCTGTGGGAAATTTATTTTATAAAATCAGAGACCAAAAAGTGACATTTTCTGCTGAAAGTCAAGTTGTAGTAATAACAATAGAAGAGAGAACAACAGACTGTTAACGTCACATATTTCACAGTTCTTCAGATAAACTATAACATAAACAACAGAACAAGTTTACTAAACTCTCCATCTCACTCCAAATCACTAAATCCATTCAATTCTTCATCCTCGGTGTCACTTCTGAACAACTCGGCCTCGACTTCCGGAGGTAAACGTCGCGCCGCTTCCTCTTCTGTGTCGCTGTCGTCAGACTCAGCATCAGTTCCAGTTAGAATTATCCGGGCCTTTCTGAATCTCGACAGGATGGTTTCAGTGTCACTGAAGTTCAGGCTTTGTCCATCCATCCAGTGACTTCAGGAAAGTTTCATGGTGCATCCTCCCGCGGTCACAAGTTTCTCTCTCACTCCAAACTTTCTTTCTGTTGCTCGATTACTGTTTTCAGATGCAGATTTCACGACTTACAGTTTGTAATCTGCAAAATCTGATTTTGTTTTTGGGGGCATTTGTGTTCAGTCTTCTCAGTCGTCTTTATTTAAGTTTGTTTAAATGTTAAATTGTTCAGTGGTGCAGAAGTAATGGTGCGATCGACTGACATGATTCAGACAGAACAAAGGCTCTTTCTGCAGGAGACATGTGCAGTAGAGTGAAGTGACAGTGGTACAGGAGCAACAGGAGCAGCAGATACTCACACACAAGACTAGAGCCTCTTGCAGCTTCAGTGTGAAAATTTGAATATATAAGTCGCAGGAAACACCCAAACCATGAAAAAAAAGTGCTTATAGTCTAAAACTTATAGTCTGAAAAATACAGTAAATAAACTGGCACTAATCTAAATTCAGAGTTATACTGGTTGATGCAGTTGATGCAACTCCCAATAATGTTGATATACAATAATGTTGTAATGTTGATGTGATGTTGTCTTGTATTGTGTCAGATATCTGGAGTGTGTGCGCATACCTCACACGGAGCCGGTGGAGGTTGAGTTCCACTGGGGCCAACGGGCCGAGCTGGAGGTGTCTAAGGCAAAGATCCTTCAGTTTATGGGACAAGTAAGAACAGATAACGGCTCTAATAATGGCACCAATATCCTGCTTTTAAAATGTACTCACAGAATGTTGTTATTTCAGCTTCTCGAGCAGGACCCTCAGACGTGGAGCCAACAGTACAAAGAGGCCCATGCCCCTCCCCCCTCCTCCCCCAGCACATCGCAGCCAAACCCCAGGACCTCACAGTCCAACCACAGCCAGAGATGAACTCCAGTCACACATGAATTTTTCAATTTTTACTCTTCTCTCAGCAATGATAAAGTGGAACAAAACACTAAATCCACTTTGTGTACCGTATTTTCTAGGCTATTAGGCACTCTGGATTATAAGACGTCATTAAATGGTCTATTTTCGAACTTTTTTCACAAATAAACTGCACTGGACTTTAAAGGAAACACAACAGTGTGATGGGTGAGTGGTTTTGTTTGTTTGTTCGTTCACGGTGACTCTGGGCTTTGTTCAGTTGTGGCGTGTAGGGAGGGTGTGTCTGGGACCAACGGATTGTCGATTGTTGTGTTCACAGTGACTCAGTTCACTTTTTAGAAGTGGCACATTGTACTCGCTTTTTCGGTTCGTTCCTCGTCCGCGTGGAGTGATGAGTGTGGCTGTGGCTGTTTTTGGCTGTGTGGTCGCTGTCTGCTCCGTGTGTTTGCGTGCGCTGCGGCTTTGTAGTTTACTGAAGTCGTGCTGGGACACCCGAGTGGATTCGTGTACAGGGCGCTCAGGATTGCGGGGCGTGCGGTTGTTTTTTGATGGGGTTAGAGGTTTAAGAGCGCGTCCAATAGCCTGGAATATACGGTATATGGAGATTTGATTGCATGATCTAGTGTTCTTAGTGATTTTTTTGACAACTTTAGGGCAGACTAGGTACATTTGCATATTTCTGGTCAAAAACGTTGAAGTGAAGTTTGTGCTTCCTTCAGAGGCCTCTGCCGTTTCCAGTGGTGGGTGACATCACTCAGGACTACCCTGATTACAGCCACGTGTTCAGGTGTTAGTGGTTGCAGTCAGGACAGAGGCGTGTGATGTCTACATGAAACCGCAGTGGCCACTAGAGCCAGGACACACCCATTTTTATACATTTTGGATCACAAAGCTGCAAAGTTGCCCAAAATGACTAGGAACAGTAGATCATGCTCTTAACACAGCAAATACACAGCAAAGAAAGTGGATTTGGTGTTTAGTTCCACTTTAAGTTAATTAATTTTTGTATGTTAATTTTGTAATATTTTTTGTTATGCAAAGTTACACTGAGTTTTTAACCAAGTTCTAATATTTCACCATCAAAAACATGCTTACTTTATTTCCAATATAGTTTCAGTCATTCCCACACTACAGCTCACCAGCTTCAGTGCTTACAGCTACTGATTTTAACCCGATACACGTTGCACCACTGCTCTATGTAACAGTAACAGTGAGTCCTTGCGCCCTCTGCTGGTGTATGGAAGTTTACTGAGTCATCTTAACCATACACATCTGGAGTTACACCGTGAAAATAACAAGGCTTCTTAAACATCCAAACTGATACTTTGCACTGACTGGGGGTGTTCTACATATATGTGTATGACGGAATGTTCAGCAGTTATCATGACAAGACATTGCACACATTTGCAAACACTATCAAAAAAGTTTTGAGATTGAAAGCTCAAGACAAAATTGATTTAAACAGCACATTTTCAGGAGCCTGTGAGCAATACGAGTGTTTGAGTTTCAACAAAAAGGTGGGAGTGACTGAAAAAGTGTTGGCTAAGGCTAGTTAAATTCTTTCTGGTCGGATTGTGCTGAAATAAAGTTGAGACCGAGCAGTGCCTACAGTTAGCGTCATACCCCCTGGGAATGTTAACGACATCAGCAAGAAGGTATCGGTTGGTGCATTAGGAAGAACCTTTGAACATGTTTGGTTTTACACTTTAAGCTCAGTTTTGTGCACAGTGCCATAAATGACACACGTTTTCACATTCATTTTATTGCACTTTTATCAAATTAAATATTCTGTAAAAACATGAAAACATTGAGTTCCACTGTTTGGTTTTTCATAGACACTATTTTAAGGATATATACTGATTAAACCCTCCACTAAAATGACCACCCAACATCCAGAGAAATCACTGATGTCTCCCTCTTTAATAAGTCTTGGTTTACTTTGGTCCAAACTGTTTTTATGTTGGTTTAGTCCTTGTCAAAGAAGTTTAGTTCCAAGAGTTAGTCCCTCATATAGTCCTGGTTTGGTATTGATTTTGTTCTGATTTAGTCATGGTTCAAGTCCTTGTTTAAGACTGATTTTGGCTTAGTTTAGTTCTCATTTAGTCCCAGATTAGTCCTGATCTCTTCCTAGGTTGGATCTAACTTAGTCCCTTTTTATTCTGGTTAAGTCTTAGTTCAGTCCTTGTTAAATCCTAGTCTAGTGTCATGGTTTTATCTCTGACTGTAGACTTTGTTTAAACTTGGTTTAGTCCCTGTTGAGTCCTGGTTTAGTCCTTTATTTAGTCCAAGGGTGTCAAACATACGGCCCGGGGGCCAGATCCGGCCTTCCAAGACCTTATATCTGGCCCTCAACTGATTTTCTAATAAAATATTTTAATTATACTTTCTATTAAAATATAGGTAATTTTCTGTGGTGTTTATCACAGCAGTGTCCCCAGTGTCTCTGTACGTGGCCCCTCCCACCAGAGCAGCACAAATGAAGACTTGTCTCTTTCCAAACGCTCTTAAAGGACGATCGTTTTGACTGTTGACCGTGACACCCTCATCAGAAAAATGTCCAAAATGAGAAAAGTGGAGCCGAGTGCAGGATTTTCCAAGAAAATTTGACTTATTCCTATTTACATACAAGTTCATGTTAAAACATTGTGTTGAAATTGTATTTTTCTTAAAGTTTCAGGTTGTTCATCATATTATAATATTTTGTAAAAGAAACAGTTCATCAATTAAACAAGATTTCTGTAATAGATTTGTGTTTCTCTGCACAAATATTTGCCTGGGCGTCTCCCTCAGGAGGTGTTCCAGGCTTGTCCCACCGGGAGGAGGCCCCAGGGAAGACCCAGGACACGCTGGAGGGACTATGTCTCTGGACTGGCCTGGGAACACCTCGGGGTTCCCCCGGAGGAGCTGGAGGACGTGTCTGGGGTGAAGGAAGTCTAGGAGTCCCTGCTTAGACTGCTGCCCCCAGCCCCGGATAAGCGGAAGAAGATTGATGGATGCACAAATATTTGAACTTGTTATTTTTGGGGTTTATATGATGAGTTTTCTGATCCGGCCCTTCTGGGATCAAAGTAGGTGGGATACGGCCCCCGGAACAAAATGAGTTTGACACCCCTGGTTTAGTTGCTTCTTGGGGTGGTCAGCATATTCTCTATTGAAATCTAACACTGAGAAAATGTATTGCTACTCCATACTTAAAATACTAAAATGGACATACTGCATATGAAGACATGACTTCACATTGACAGAGGTAACGCACTTCACCAGATTATTTGCTGGTTCTTTTGTTCAAACATTTTCAAATCTAAATCTAAAATGGAGCACCAAATCAGTTTAAAGAGTTTCCTTCAACCACTCAACTGACCTTTATTTAGATGCATTTTTTATTTTTTATTTTTTATTTGTGCTTTTAATATTAGGCACAATTTGGCATTATGGGGTTTTAAAGTGCCAATTATCTAAATATTTGGCTTGGCACATACAGTTGCCATATGTCAGATGCCCTCCCATCCTCCAATGTCCCTAACACCTTAGTTTATTTATACTTACAGATAAGACTTTAAACTTTCTGCCAGGTTTCGTTTCATGTGGATAGGCCCAGTAATTACAAAGATGAACCATAAACCAGGTTAACAAATCTGTGTCTGACAGTTACAAGACAAACTCCACCACAGGATTCAAAACAGTTTTCACAGCATCATGACAAATCTTAAAACTCTGGGATTTTCAGATTGTTTGTGAACAAAAAAGCAACATTAAGGTGTAGCTGATCCAGTAGTTTTCATGTGGTTGATTTCACATTTGGAGAAGCATCGTTGCACCTGAGTCCGGCTTCGTAAAGTGCATTCACGATGAGACTACAGTGACATAGACGGGTGTGGTTTAGGAAACAGTCTGTGTTCTGTACAGTTACAAAGGTTTAAGGCAGGGGGCTGTTTAATTGTGCTCTGGGACGGTCTCCAGCGCCTCCTCTGGGTCTCTGTCCACGTCCACATTCTAAAAACAACAAGAAGAAAATAAAGTAAGGGAAACAGGTTGAGTTAGTCCCAGAATTTGATGAGGTGGAGGGCAGGGGTCTGTATTAGAGCCCGACCGATGATATAAAACCAATATAATGGGAGTTGGCGCTGCCGATAGCTGATATAATCACCGATATATTTAGTGATGTAAAAATTCACTGTAAATCTTGAACTGATTAAAAAACTTAGGTTTGGCTCTAGTGGATTCTAAATTGGGTTTATTTAGGCAACATTTATTGTTATTTTGACTCTTTACATCATATTTACATACAGTAGATTGGCCTAATGGCATTTTTGCATCACATTCTAGCTACTAGCAGTGTTGTGCATGAACGCGTTCAAAAGAACGCGTTCATTGAACACGTTCATTTTTCAGTGAACTTTGAACTGAACGCAACACTTTTGTAAATCAAGAACTTGAACGTGAATTTGTTCAAATTATGTGTGATGAACGACGTACGTCACTGTTGGGGTTCAGTTAAACGTCGGAATTTGTTTTCACCTGACGAGTGACGATCTGCTCGCACTTCACCTCGCGAAACCACAGCCGCGTGTCAACGTGAAGGCGACTCCACCGGCAGCTTTAACGGAACGTACGGGCTCTTGTGTCTCTCAATCAGAAGTCAATCAAACTTGACTGGGCGCGTTTAGCTGCTTGTATTTACCTTCTGTACAGGCTGACCACGGCAAACGCAAGGATTTCAAAAGTAAATTTCAAAGCACTAATTAACAGTGTATGTGGATCTGGGCTCTTTCACTTGATACACAACTGCCCAGGGAGCACAATGTGCTGATGGTAAATACACAAATACAACAACAGATACATGCTCTTTGTGTATTTTGACGCCTACGCTCGTGTAGAGCGTCAAAAAATAGGATGGATCCTATTTTTTGACGCTCTACAGGCACAGGACGTGCTGCTCCACGCGCGTATTATTTTACTTGGTACATATGTCAGTAACGCGCGTCACAATGCTTTTTAACCTGGATTGAAATGGTGGGTTTTTCGTTTTTCTTCATACAAATTTGCTAAAATCACCGCGATATCAGCAGCGGTGAAACGCCGGAGGTTCGCCCGCGTAGACAGTGATCCTGAGCGAAAGGACCGACGCAGAAGTCCGCGCTCCACCGAGATAAACGCAGCTGACGCCCGATCGCACTCGGGGTTCTCTCAGGGGCGGTCCTAGATTCCAAGTTCTAGTCCAGGATTAGTCCTGGTTTGGTCCTGGTTTAGTCTTGGTTTAGTCCTGGTTCAGTTCTGGTTTAGACCTGGTTTAGACCTGGTTCAATTCTGGTTAAGTCCTGGTTTAGTCTTGGGTTATTCCTGGTTTAGACCTGGTTCAGTCCTGGTTCAGTCCTGGTTTAGACCTGGTTCAGTCCTGGTTTAGTCTTGGTTTATTCCTGGTTTAGACCTGGTTCAGTCCTGGTTCAGTTCTGGTTTAGTCCTGGTTTAGTCCTGGTTTAGACCTGGTTTAGACCTGGTTTAGTCCTGGTTCAGTTCTGGTATAGACCTGGTTTAGTCCTGGTTTAGATCTGGTTCAGTCCTGGTTCAGTTTTGGTTTAGTCCTGGTTTAGTCCTGGTTTAGACCTGGTTTAGTCCTGGTGTAGTCCTGGTTCAGTCCATATACGGCGCAAAAGTTCAACATCTTAACAGTTCTTTTGGTGAGAGTAAATTAAAAGTGCTGCAATAGTCATATAATGTTTTACATTTTAAATACAGTAATATTGTAATGTAACAAATGACTTAGAAATGACAGTAACAAGTCATAAATAAAACATTACAGTTTTAAAGTCACTTGTCCAACAGTGGATCTTGTAAAGTTGTTGTAAACTAGAAGTCAGTTTGAAAAATAAATGCAGCCTTTCCTTTACAGATCTCATCTAAATATAAAATGAACTGAACTTTGAACTAGTTCAAAATTAAAATTGTGAACTATGAACGTGAACTATTCACTTTGAACAAGTGTGAACTGAACTTTGAACTAGTTCATGAAAAGTGTGAACTTGCACAACACTGGCTACTAGTGATGGGGATTCCAGTTTTTTTTTTTTGTTTTTTTTTTTTGGAGAACCGGCTCTTTTGGCTCGGCTCACTAAAGCAGCTGGCTCTTTCAGCTCCCAAGCGACTCTTGAGATTGTTTTGTTGCAAGCAGGACTAAACCAGAACTGAACCAGGACTGAGTGTCGGGACTCGGTTTCTATCTCTCTCCTTCACTCGAGCCCAAGATTAGTCCTGGTTTATTCATTTTATGCTGAACTGCAGCCAAATATGCACTTTTTTTTTAATCCTATGCACACGCAGATTTCTGAAAGTTTCGTTTTCAGCCGCTGCTGCTGTCAAACTACGGGTCTACAAGCGGCTTGAAGAGAAAAAGTGAGAAAAAGAGAAAACACGGCTCCCAATAAGAAGCAGGCTCCCGTTGTGAGCCGTTAAGAGCCGCTTCGATCGCGACCGACCCATAACTCCTAGCTAGTAAACTATCGCTATTAGCCTTTAGCCGTAAATGCTGCGCACCGCGGTAGTTAATTATATGCATAAATGTGGATCATTCACATGTCTATTCACAGCTCATTTACATATCAATGCAGGTCCAGTAACAAATATACGGCCAATGTAGTCACTTTACAATAGACCAGTGCTTCTCAATTATTTTCTGTCATGCCCCCCCTAGGACGAATAAAACATCTCGCGCCCCCCCGTGTGACTATAGATAGTATCATTTGTCTATAAAATTGTTATAAGTACACCTGTGCGTAACACTGCCACCTTATATGACGCCAACAATGCTCGCTGGTTTACTGAAGTAGCAGTCACAAAGCGGGATGATTGTCGGCAATATTCGGCACGTTTTCGCTGAAAAATCTCAAGCGGCTTATCAGAGTGATTGGGGTGTAATGTATTTAAGTGACGCCTTAATTTATTGGGCTTCATGCTGTCTGCTGCCAACATTTTTAGACGCAGTAAGCACACCGGTCTTTCCTCGTCTCCCACCGTAGTCACAGTGAAGCCAAGCGCTACATACGCTTCGTCATATTTCCTCGTCTTAGCTTTCGGGAGATTTTCGTTTGTCTCTTTATCTCCGTCTCTCTAAGCCTGTCTTCTCATCCCTGTTAAATATTTTTTCATGGTGTCACTTGAGGGTCTGCTACACTTCATGTCTACACTTCATACTCAAACTCTGTGCTGTGTGCAAAGCGCGCATGCTCAGTGCAAACAAAACTCCTCCACCACCGAGCGAATGCCAAGGATCTATTAAAATAACGAATGCTCCCTGCGCACACTCTGCCAATGAGAGCGCCACTGCCCCCTAATGTAGTGGAAGTGCAATTGCACTTTATTCTAAAGGCCCGTTCAGACCAAAGCGTCAAAGCGTCCACTTTCTATGTAAAGTCTATGTGGACGCGCGACTACAGCGTCCTGCGTTTTTGCGGCGCGTTTTCGGCGTCAGCGCGGCGCGAATCTGGCGTCAGCGCAGGGCGTCTTCAGCGTTTTGGCGTCAGCGGCCAAGACGCGCGTCCAAGGCGTCAGCGTCAAGAAGTTGAAAATTCTGAACTTTTCGCGTCAGACGCGCCGCGTCAACCAATCAGGGACGAGTATCCAGAGACGCAGCGACGTTATTATCAGGAAGAAAAACCCGAGAACCAGAACGAGAACCACAAACATGAGCGGAGAATAAATATATACGCCACAATCACCGAGCCGATCGCGAGGACTACACCAGGACCGGACCAGGACCAAACCAGGACTAGACCGAGACTAGACCGAGACTAAACAAGGACTAGACCGAGACTAAACAAGGACTAGACCGGGACTAGACCGTGATTAGACCAGGACTAGATCGGGACTAGACCGTGATTAGACCAGGACTAGACCGGTATTAGACCAGGACTAGACCGGGACTGATCCAGTGTCATTAGCGGAGTATAAATATATATACGCCCCAGTCGTCGACCCGATCTCCTCTTTTGATGTTTTATGTCATAAAAACACTCTCTCAGTCTGGTCTGACATTGTTTCGGGAAAAGAGCGGGACCGGGCTCTTGTTTCCAGGGCAACGGACGCGCGTCAAGTATTTTTGTCCCGTTTGTCCACGGCGTCAAAGATGCGCGTCGGGGGCGTCTAAACTCAAATGCAAAGGCTCCAAATAGAGGCGACAAGGCGTTTTTTGACGCTTTGGTGTGAACGGCCCTTAAGACAGTAAAAAAAATCAAAATAAAAAAGCATGCTCCCCGAGGTCAAACGCGCCCCCCTTGACGGAGCCTCGCGCCCCCCTGGGGGGAGCTACAGCAGCTAACCGCTCACAAAACCTAAACTAGCTTCAAAGTCGATGTATTTCCAACACTCACCGCTCACACAGGCTCCTCCTCACATCACAAGTCTGCACTAATAAATGTCCTTTTAATCCAGACTCAAACCGATTGTCCGAAAAAGAATATAATCTCAGTGTTGTGCACTGCTGCGGGTGTAAACAAGAACACGTGAGTGAAGTGACGTCACTCTGGTGGTGTGTTCAGGGACAGTACGGACACAGACAAATTACACCGCAGATAAATACTGATGCGGAGCCACATATTAGGACATTTATCTGTCTGTAAATTGGATTAAATGAACATAATGTAGAGAGTCTAAACTTTATAACGAGGTATAACATGCCCACGTGAAATATCGGCCCATATCAGCAAGCATATCGGCCGATAGCCGATATGTCTCCAGGTGCCCGTATTAGCCGATAATATCGGCCAGCCGATATATCGGTCGGGGTCTAGTCTGTATAACTCTGAGAGATTCACTGTTTTTGAAAGAAATCTTCAAACTTCTAATAATAATAAATCAGTTTTATATAGTGCTTTTCTGGACACTCAGAGACACTTTACTGACCATTCTTCATTCACTCCACACTTGGTGGGGGTGAGATATTACTGCAGCCACAGACCTGCCCTGGGGCAGACTGACAGAAGCAAGGCTGCCAATCTGCAATCTGAGCCCCTCCAACACTCACCACTTTCATACCAGCCAATGTGGATGAAGGACACAGTGACAGTTTTTGTGTCTGGTGCCCCCTGTGGCACCTGATTTTCCCAGTGGTCTCCCATCCAAGTACTACCCAGGCCCAGCCCTGCTGAGCTTCTGAGATCTGACAGGATCAGGCTTTGACAAGCTGGTATGGCCACAAATGTAGAACCTTCTCATTATTTCTTTGGGATCAGCTCCACAATCTTATACAATCTCATCTTTGGGGTTGAATAATGGTGCCCTCTTTCTGAAGTGATTAAAAAAACATTTCATGTTTGTTTATTCACCCTGACCAAGAATTGTAATTCTTGCTATCCACATGATGCACAAACTAGTATGGAAAACTTAATCTCAGCAGCTCAGTGGTTAGAGCAAGTGGTCACCCAAACTGAAGTTTAAAGGATTGGTTCCTGCTTGGACCAAGTTGTATGCGGCGTGTGTGAAGGTGCAGATTGGCAGCTTTGCTTCTGTCAGTTTGTCCCATTGCTTCCATTGTTAGTAAATGTTAGGGATTTTCTTCACAATATTCATTCATTCACATTCATCATGTGGCAATACCGGTTTGTCAAAGCCTGATCCTGTCAGATCTCAAAAGCTCAGAGGCCTGGTCTGGTTAGTACTTGGATCGAGACCAAGGGGAAACTCAGGTGCCACAAGGGGGCGCCGGTCACATAAACTGTTCACCCACATTGCCTAGTATGAAAGATTTTAAAGTGATTGACCATGTGTGATCTTAACAGTGAAATAACTCACCACTGGCCTGTCTCTGTGCGTGTTGACTGCTTCTATGTTCAGGTAAATGGACTCCACTTTACAACCTGAGAAATGAACAAACCAGTGAAGATTAGAATAACACAGTAAACACAGTCAGTCAGTGTGAGATTAGAACATTAGAACACTGTGATTCAAATGAAAGGTTTAACTCACCGTAGGCCACTGGGGTGAGCTTCAGGACTGTGTGGAGAGGACACTTCAGGTACGGAAGCTCGTCTACAACAGAAACAAAAATACTACAGTTCAATTTAGAGATTCTTTTCCCTTTTGTATCCCCCTGAAAACACAGCACTTAGAAATGGAACAGCCCTGGTTTTGTCCTGATATTTCTTGATGTCATTTCCTCGCTTCTTCAGACTCCTCCTACCACTTGGTTTGAATCTGGATTTGCTCTGTTTGAAGGGGAGATTCGGGATGCCCCCTCGTCTCTTGTGAAAGTGCAAAATAAAAGGGAAGAGCCCAGGCAAAGGGCTAAGGGGCAGAACTGTGATAGGGCCTAAATCCACAGTCTGGTTCTGGGCTCACCTGCACTCTTGTCCAGGAAGTAGGCGAGCAGACACCTCATCACAGCCTGGTGACAGATGACCAGAACATTCTCTTGACGCTCCAGCTCCATGATCACAGGCTCCAGACGGTGTACAAGGTCTTCATAGGACTAAAATATACAATACGCAATACTACTATTACTATCACACATACAAGTACACAGAGACATGCTCAGAGACACAAGAGAGTGATCACAGGCTCCAGCACACGTACAAGATCTTCATAGGACTAATATATACAACACAGTGATAAGAATGTCCTCCTGTATCCCTGTGTGTCAGATGCCCTCCCATCCTCCTGTATCCCTGTAGTGTGGTGATTTGGGAGCAGGTCAAATGTCTCTAGTCTGTAGATGCTGTGATGTGGTTGGAGGGAAATCAGTTGGAAAATCCCCCTGAACTCTACCCTTTATGAAACTAAGTTAGTTCATCTATATACATATAAATTAAAACAAACAACATTTTTGTCATTATATTTATGGTATTAATTATAATATAATTATTAATTGCCAATCCTCTCCTCAGTCCATCTGCAGACGTTGGGCCGAGGGTTTATAGATGATAAAATGCTGGTTCTTTGTGGTCAGATTAGGCAGTGCCATCACTTGCCCCAGATCATTCTTCACAGGTAACTATTTCAGGATTTTATCTTACATATTTCAATGAAATACATAGTTAAAACCTTTTTCTAAAAGTGATTCTGAATGATTTTTGAACACATTCTGTAGCTTTCTAAGTTCCTTGTGTTGTACTGCTTACAAATATGTTCATGGCAGGAAAAATAATTCATAAGAAATAATAAGAAAATAATTCATATTTCTTCCCAAATCAACAGTTACAACTGCTCTAGACCAGGCATGGCAAACTATGGCCCGGGGAACCAAATGTGGCCCTCAGACAAATTTTTCTTGGCCCTCAGACTTCCAGGTGAATTGTTCCAAATTACCTTGCATCAATTAAAAAAAAATTTTTACTGCAAGTTTTTGGAAAATCTACCTTGATAAAGTAAATCTTAAAATTTAGTGTGTGATTTTAAGGATCGTAGCATGAATAAAGACTGATGGCTCATTCTAATGTGTTAAACATGCACATATTTCAATTATTCCCTGTATTGAGCATCAGTCTACGACCCTCGATCGGCCCTCTGCTTCGTGTGTGTTTAGATATGTGGCCCTTGATGAAAAAAGTTTGGACACCCATGTTCTAGGACATGGGGAACAAGAAAAAATGATATAAAATAGGATTTCATAGTAAACTTCTGAGAGCAAATAAGGAATATATTGATATTACAGACTGAAAAAATGTGTGTCGCTTTAAAAAGGCCCCACATTTGTTCTGGTACATTCACATTTCATTTGATTATGATATAGAAGCAGATTTTCTAACTCAATACTAGACAGTGCGAGCTGCAGCAAAAACGTCCCCCCTCTCCCGGGCACAGCAGGTTCCCACCCGTGTGTGCCATCCAAGAGAAGGGGGCGTCCGGAGGGAGGAGGGGGATGCTCCTGCCAAGAGAATGGGGCGATTGAGCTGGGACTTTCAAGCCAGGGGGACGTTAGACTCCCCTCTTTGCCAGGGGGACCTCTTACCTCTCCTTTAGGGTAGCGGTATCGATATTTGTCCTGGTCCCTCAGAGCAAACTCCTCTGGGTGGTGATCCTGGATCTCCTCATACGTCATCTCCTCACACACTCCCTGTAAAGCAGCAAAATAAAACAAACTCATTTAGCATAAAGTTTAATACAAGAGTACACTGTAGAATACTGACATTGTGAAAACAAATCAAACTACAGCAATGACTCATGGACTGAACCAGGACTGAACCAGGACTGAACCAGGACCGAAAAGATAAGATAAGATAAGATAAGATATGCCTTTATTAGTCCCACAGTGGGGAAATTCCAGTGTTGCAATGCACAATTTCAGAACAGCAGGAAAAGGTAACACAGATAATAAATAATAGCTTAAAATAATTTAAAAATAGACTTAAAAATAATTGCACATGGATATAATTGACTGGCACATGTTCAGTGTTTACAGTGTTTGTTGTAAAGTCTGACAGCAGCAGGAAGGAAAGATCTGCGAAACCTCTCCTTCACACAGCGAGGGGGAATCAGTCTGTCACTGAAGCTGTTCTCCAGAGCAGACAGAGCGTCCTGCAGGGGCTGAGACTCATGGGCCAGCAGAGAGATGACCTTAGTCAGGACCCTCCTGTCCCCCACCTCCTGCACTGAGTCCAGAGGACAGCCCAGGACAGAGCTGGACTTCTTGATGACCTTGTCCAGCTTCTTCCTCTCCTTCTCTGTGATGCTGCTGCTCCAGCAGACCACACCGTACAGGATGGCTGATGCCACCACAGAGTCATAAAAGGTCTTCAGGAGTGGCCCCCCCACTCCAAAAGACCTGAGTCTCCTCAGGAGATAGAGCCTGCTCTGGCCCTTCCTGTACAGTGCATCTGTGTTGTGAGTCCAGTCCAGTTTATTGTTCAGATGAACACCCAGGTACTTATATGAGTCCACTCTCTCAATGTCCCTTCCCTGGATGTTCACTGAGGGGGCAGTAGAGTGACATCTGCGGAAGTCCACCACCATCTCCTTGGTCTTCCCTGCATTGATGATGAGGTGGTTCTGCTGACACCAGTCCACAAAGTCCTGTATTAGTCCTCTGTACTCCACATCATTATCATCCTTGATGAAGCCAATGATGGCAGAGTCATCAGAGAACGTCTGCAGGACGCAGCTGTCCGTGTTGTGTCTGAAGTCTGCAGTGTAGAGGGTGAAAAGAAAGGGAGCAAGGACAGTGCCCTGGGGCGCCCCCACACTACCAGTCAGGAGGTCAGACACGCAGTTCTTGGATCTCACAAACTGGGGCCGGTTTGTGAGGTAGTCCAGAATCCAGTCTGCCAGGTCACAGTCCACACCGGCAGTCTCCAGCTTGTCCCTCAGGAGCAGTGGCTGGATGGTGTTGAAAGCACTGGAGAAATCAAAGAAAAGAATCCTGACAGTGCTGCCGGGGTTCTCCAGGTGAGACAGTGAGCGGTGCAGCAGGTAGATGACGGCGTCCTCCACTCCGATTCCAGGCCGGTACGCAAACTGCAGCGGGTCCATCGCTGAGCTCACGGTGGAGTGGAGGTGGCCAAGGACCAGTCTCTCCAGTGTCTTCATCAGATGGGATGTTAGAGCCACCGGCCTGAAGCTGCTGAGGTCTTTAGCGTGCGGCGTCTTAGGCACTGGTACCAAGTCTGTGATCTTTAATTTTAATTTAATTTCATGATGGCCAGTGAGGCAGAAGCGTCACATCTGAAGGTATTACAGTGTTCCTGAATGGTAAAAACAACACCTGTGTGAGCTGGAATCTCACCGTCAGCCTGTGAGTCAGTGAATCTGTTAGTGCCTCATGGGTTTTTGCTCTTAAACTGATCGGACCAGTCAGTCTTAATGTGGTTTTGGTGTTTTCTTTTGGTTGATCTTTGGTCTTGTTCTACACTCTTTCACTTGTAGGCTCTGTTGAAGTCCTCACTTGTGTCTGGATCTGTCCTTGGCTTTTCTCTGTCCTGTCTGTCCTTCACTTAACCACAAATATAAATCCTTCTATCTTTGAAAAAACAACTTTTTACCTCAACACCGCTTATTTGATACTTACTCACTCTTATATTTTTTGTAATTAAGAAAATAACATAAAGCATTACAAATGTGTTCAGGAAAACCTACATTTGATTTGAAGTTAACAAGAAAACTTTTCATACACTTCCTTTAAAATGAAAAGTGATTAAACAAGTGATAAGATGAATTGGAATGAGAAATCCGAGGCACATTTGACTCACGGCGTCAATCTCGTTGAGGGCCTTCCACTGCTCGTAGGGCACTCCCAGAGCCTCGGCCGTTTGGATGGTCCTCTTCATGTGACTGGTCCAAACCTTCAGGTCCTTAATGTTCTGACCGCTCATGTACTTCCCCAAAGCCTGAGCGTACTGAGGAAGAGGAGAGAAGGGTTAGAAAGAAGAGGAAGAGGAGAGGAAGAGGAATGGGTCAGAAGGAGAACGGGATACAGAAGAGAGGGTCAGAGGAGCCGAGGAGTGGGTCAGAGGAGCAGAGGAGAGGATCAGATGGAGCAGAAGAGAGGAGCAGAGGAGAGGATCAGATGGAGCAGAAGAGAGGAGCAGAGGAGATGGTCAGAGGAGCAGAAGAGAGCAAATAGAGCAAAGGAGAGGGTCAGAGCAGAGGAGATGGTCAGAGGAGCAGAAGATGCAGAGGAGAGGCTCAGAGGTGCAGAGGAGTAGGCGTGTACCTTGTTCCCTCGTGTAGACAGGCCCGAGTCTCCTCCGATCCTCCCGAGCAGGTTGAGTTCGCTCTCTCCGTGCCTGCTCAGGTAGATGGAGCGCGGGGTGACGTGGATGTTCATCAGGTAGTACACGATTCTGCTCTGGATGTGGTCCTGGACGTGGTTCACCAGGTACCGACTCCCCACGTTGAAGATCTTTATGTACGAAAGTTTCCTGAACCGAGAGAGAGGGGATGTGAGTGTGAGAGCGTTACAGAACGCTGCTTCCTAGTGATGGTGAGATGAAGCCCCATGAAGCACCGAAGCGTTCCATCCATTCGCTCGACTCTTGAGCCGACGCTTCAAGGTGTTTCATTTGCTCCACTGCGCCATCAAGAGGCCAAAAAAATGTATAACAGGCAGAGTGAAAATAGAACAATCAACATGATCATCGTGGTTCTGATAGAAAGATACACTGATATACTGAACAAATGAATGATTAAATATTTGAACGTTTGTGATTTCAACATACAAAGTGTGAATGTATGAACCTGGAGTCTGTGTTCATGATTTAACGGTCGGGTTAAAAGAAAAAGTAGGAACAAATTGGAGATCAGGATGTGATGTGACTGTGCTTGTGTTGCGCTTTATGTCTGTGCTTATGCCACAATAAGGACGGCAAAATAGGGTCATTTTATTCATTTTTATTAAAAAATATCAATTTCTCTACAGTATTTGGACTCAGACGGTTTCTTTTTTACAGAGAATTTCCCCTGCTTTAAAAAAAAAAAAATGTTTAACTGAGCACAGATGATGCAGGCGTGCAGAGAAAATCCATTTGCTGGCTCCATCGCAAAAAAAAAAGAAAAAAGAATCTCAAATAGAATGTACCAAACTCGCAATAACCCAAAACCACAAAATGTTTTGGGGGAATTTGTTGCTGTGATAGAAATGTAGATTGTGGAAAGATTTCTCTCAATCTGTCTTGTGTGATTTCTACCAGTCATTAACATGTGTAAAGGTTCATCAGGCACAACTGTCTCTGCCTTCAGGAAGTCTGTTGTTATCATCAGCTGTATGTTCATTTAGCACCAGCCTCTGAAACCAAAGTCACTGTGCATTGATATGTATGCACTTGTATTTCTGTATAAATACTGAGAGCTCAAATGCTCTGAGAGGGACATGGGGAGAGACATGAGAGATGGGGGCAGACATGGGAGACATGTGAGATACTGCTGGGGGTGAGAGGCTGTTGGGCTTTGGCCGGAACAGGCCTAGGCCCTGTCCATATCTGCTGTAACAAGAATAAACCTTGGTCTATATTCCAAAAACTCATCTGGCTTTGCAAATGGATTCATTATTTATCTTCAAGAGATAGATCATTTTTTCCACAACATTGTGTTTCATTGGCCCTTGTGTTTTGAATCGCGCCAAATCTGCGAGCCACTTCCTGAAGCAGTCACGTGGTACAGCCGGGCAGCGAGGCTTTGGATGTCATAATTTTGGGCTCCTCCCCCAAATGAAGCGAGCCTCGATACGCGCTTCGCAGAAACACCCCCTTCATTACTCAACACAGGCTTCGAAGCCTCGGCACATCTCGTAACATCACTACTGCTTCCACACTATCATCAAAGAAGTCATGTCAGGGCAGTGTGAGGAGAGTAACAGCCCTCAGGACAAAAGTGTCCCTCTTCTGTCTGTGGGGATGGGGAACTGTTGTAGTTTATCTGATCCAAAGAATGTGTCTGTGTTTTGTACTTGTTTTTATATAGCTCAATGACAAACTCCCAGCATGCATCAGTGTCGTACCTGTCCTCGTGCTCACATATGGTCCTAGCATGCATCACTGTTAGAGATGGGCATTCGATTAAATTTTCTTAATCGATCGTCGGTAGAATTAACAATCGATTATCGATTAATCATTAACGTTTTTTTATATTAAAATTTATCATCATCATTATTATATCTGCACTGCTAATCTGCATAAATAAATTCAACTTTACGACATATAAACCGTGACCGCTCTAAAACCACATCAGCCCGTTTGACATTATAATGTGTTTAATGCAGATTTGTTCAACTCTCACAGAAACAAAACTTAAAACCATGTGGCTAATTTGCATAAAGTAAGTGAAGGAAAAAAAAACAGCTCTTGTGTCGCTGATGTGATCAACTTCTGTCGGACTAAAGGACATGACTCAGTGGAATACAGGTTAGTGTGACCAGATTTGCGTTTGTCAAAACCAGGACACCGTACGGGGGGAGGGAGGTGGGGCCTCGTCATCCACATTGAGCGACTCTCACCTGGTAAAACTTTTTCATGTTTTCAGTGTCCTGGTGAACTTTTTCCCACTGGACACCGAAACATATGTTCCTGCTTTGTGCACTGTGCACATGGACTCACACTTGTCCCGACCAGAACAGAAAGCATGGAGTTTCTTGTACAAGTCATAGTTAAATACGCATTTGTGCTTCGGCACGATGCAGACTGACCAACTTTGTGTTTCCTCGCTCCTTCCGATGCACAGAGAGCTACATGTACACACCCCTGTTTGGTCACGCTACACACAGCAACCTACATTCAGTTTGTCGATGAAAATTAACATAATCGATGAAATTCTTAATGATCAATTATCAATTCATCGACTTATCATGCTGATCTCTAATCAGTGTCGTACCTGTCCTCGTGGTGACATACTGTCCCAGCATGCATCAGTGTCGTACCTGTCCTCGTGGTGACATACTGTCCCAGCATGCATCAGTGTCGTACCTGTCCTCGTGGTGACATACTGTCCCAGCATGCATCAGTGTCGTACCTGTCCTCGTGGTGACATACTGTCCCAGCATGCATCAGTGTCGTACCTGTCCTCGTGGTGACATACTGTCCCAGCATGCATCAGTGTCGTACCTGTCCTCGTGGTGACATACTGTCCCAGCATGCATCAGTGTCGTACCTGTCCTCGTGGTCACATACTGTCCCAGCATGCATCAGTGTCGTACCTGTCCTCGTGGTGACATACTGTCCCAGCATGCATCAGTGTCGTACCTGTCCTCGTGGTGACATACTGTCCCAGCATGCATCAGTGTCGTACCTGTCCTTCTGGTCGTCCAGGGGCACATAGTTCAGTTTGTAACACTCGATCCTCTTGAGGAAGTCCTCCACAGCCTCGTCTTTGTCACAGTCCACATAGTCTGGACTGCTCAGCTTCACCTGCTGTTTGGATCAACACACACGACATTCAGATAATAGATCATGACAGAGGCACCATCATCACAAAGACTGCTCCTCTGTGTTTTTAAAGTTCATTCGCCTTAGTTGTTTAGTGAAGCTCTGAAATTGCCTTGGCAGAGCACCATTCTTTTTAGCATTTGTTTTCATACGTGACAGTTTGGACTGGTCACTGTCTGTCAACACAAACAAACTAACCCTGAGACTAGACTAGAGGAGTTTCATACTCCACTGTGAAATACTATAGACACAGGAACATCTCCACAGTAACACGTATGTAGAGAATAAGAGTCAGGTTTGTGGAGATGCAAGCCTGCTCACAGTAGAGACACACGTTTTTCCACTTCAGTGCAATGAAAACAACCACCATGAAAAAAACCCCACATATTTATTTTAGTTCAAAAGTTACACAGAGAGGCTTTAAATAAACTGTGCTGTGTGGATGGCCTGGTGCATATTCACAGATGTTACTTACTTTAATATTCTCTTCGATGATTTCAGGGTCGTCACAAATGGACTCCACAAAGAAAACCTGCAGCACAAAAACAGTCCATATGAACATGACGTGTCCTAAAGACAGAGCCGCAGTGCATTTGACGTGACCCAGGACTGGACCTTGTATCCGTTTTCTTTGGCGAAGCTCAGAATGAGGTCTCTGCGTTCAGGGGTCGTGTTGGTGGCGTCAAAAACCTGAAAATGACACATGTTTAGATTGGTCCTGTATTACACAAAATGGACTCTTGGCATGTTAGAATGTCATTATACCATCACACACACACACATTCATACTCAGAAATGTGGGTGAAAAGACTTGCCCAAGGACACAACACTCACCGCAACTTGTCCCATTTCTCTGCTGAAGTAATCACACACGTCCTTCAGAGCAGCGTTGGCGCAGGCTCTGGAGAAGAGAAACAGTCCTGGTTTAGTCCTGGTTTAGTCCTGGCTCAGTTCTGGTTTAGTCTTGGTTTAGTCCTGGTTCAGTCCTTGTTCAGTTCTGGTTTAGTCCTGGCTCAGTTCTGGTTGAGTGCTGGATCAGTCCTGGTTTAGTCCTGGTTCAAACCTGGTTTAGTCCTGGTTTAGTCCCGGTTTAGTCCTGGTTCAGTCCTGGTTTAGTCCTGGTTCAGTCCTGGTTTAGTCCTGGTTTAATCTTAGTTCAGACCTGGTTTAGTCCTGGTCCTGGTAGTCTGGTTTAGTCCTGGTTTTAGTCCTGGTTTTAGTCCTGGTTCAGTCCTGGTTTAGTCCTGGTTTAGTCCTGGTTCAGTCCTGGTTTAGTCCTGGTTCAGTCCTGGTTTCAGTCCTGGTTCAGTCCTGGTTTAGTCCTGGTTTAGTCCTGGTTCAGTCCTGGTTCAGTCCTGGTTTAGTCCTGGTTCAGTCCTGGTTTAGTCCTGGTTCAGTCCTGGTTTAGTCCTGGTTCAGTCCTGGTTCAGTCCTGGTTTAGTCCTGGTTTAGTCCTGGTTCAGTCCTGGTTTAGTCCTGGTTAGTCTGGTTCAGTCCTGGTTCAGTCCTGGTTTAGTCCTGGTTCAGTCCTGGTTTAGTCCTGGTTCAGTCCTGGTTCAGTCCTGGTTTAGTCCTGGTTTAGTCCTGGTTTAGTCCTGGTTCAGACCTGCGTATCTTCATGGCCTCAGAGTTGTCTGGTCTGAAGAACTCAAAGCTGTTGTATGTTTTCGTGGCGTCTCTTCTGTACTGACCCACGTTAAACACTGCAACACACACACACACGCACACACACACACACACACACACACACACACACACACACGCACACACGCACACACACGCACACACACACACGCACACACACACACACACACACACACACACACACTGCTTCGTTAAAACCACACTCTGGAACATTCTCCAACGAGATAGATCATCATTTTTATGCCATATTGTAGAATATTATAGCCAAAGGAACAACATTTGAACTTTTTTGAGACATTTATAGTTTCAGCATTGCAAAAATAATAATAAAAATAATAATAATAATAATAATAATACAGTATAAGGTTTTCGTTCTCTGGCTTTTACCACCGCGAGAGTTATTTGGTCCTCTCTGTCTTTATTTAGTTTTAATGTTCTGTTGTTGTTGTTTTTTTACCTTTTTATTATTTATTGGTATTCTTGCTCTTATTTGGTTTAACTATTTAAAACAAATCATTCATAAAGTATAAAAATATATTAACAGTGTCACAACATCAAACATACAAGAAATGAATGAAAAGAAGCAGAAAGAAGAGTCTTATGTTCTCTGGCCCTTTTTCCTTTTCGAGACAAAATATCAACACTGAGACTGGGACCAGGACTTTTCATGCATGTGACTAAAATAAACTGATCTAATGTGCCAGTCTGGTCTGGTTCTGACTCGAGGTGTTTATCCTTCTGTGAAAAGTCTGGATTTGTCCGGAAGCATCTGCAGTGCGTGGTGTGAACTTTACCTTTGGTGGTGACCCCGATCCAGTTGAGGTACCTGGTGAGCTTCTTGGAGATGTAAGTCTTTCCTCTGGCGGGAAGCCCCACCATCACGATCATGGTCGGAGAGTTTGTGAACTGAGGCACAGACGCTGAAAATAAACAAGAGAGACAAACAACTGTGAGAAATGACAACAAACATGTAGAAAGAGACTAAACCAGGACTAAACCAGGACTAAACCAGGACTGAACCAGGACTGAACCAGGACTAAACCAGGACTGAACCAGGACTAAACCAGGACTAAACCAGGACTGAACCAGGACTAAACCAGGACTGAACCAGGACTGAACCAGGACTAAACCAGGACTAAACCTGGACTGAACCAGGACTAAACCAGGACTAAACCAGGACTAAACCAGGACTAAACTGGACTAACCAGGACTAAACCTGGACTGAACCAGGACTAAACCAGGACTAAACCTGGACTGAACCAGGACTAAACCAGGACTAAACCAGGACTGGACTAAACCAGGACTAAACCAGGACTAAACCAGGACTGAACCAGGACTAAACCAGGAGGACTAAACCTGGACTAAACCAGGACTAAACCAGGACTGGACTAAACCAGGACTACTAAACCAGGACTAAACCAGGACTAAACCTGGACTGAACCAGGACTGAACCAGGACTAAACTAAACCAGGACTAAACCAGGACTAAACCAGGACTGAAACCAGGACTAAACCAGGACTAAACCAGGACTAAACCCTGGACTGAACCAGGACTAAACCAGGACTAAACCAGGACTAAAACCTGGACTGAACCAGGACTGAACCAAGGACTAAACCAGGACTAAACCAGGACTAAACCTGGACTAAACCAGGACTAAACCTGGACTGAACCAGGACTAAACCAGGACTAAACCTGGACTGAACCAGGACTAAACCAGGACTAAACCAGGACTAAACCAGGACTAAACCTGGACTAAACCAGGACTGAACCAGGACTAAACCAGGACTAAACCAGGACTGAACCAGGACTAAACCAGGACTGAACCAGGACTAAACCTGGACTAAACCAGGACTAAACCAGGACTAATTCAGGACTGAACCAGGACTGAATCAGGACTAAACCAGGACTGAACCAGGACTAAACCTGGACTAAACCAGGACTAAACCAGGACTAAACCTGGACTAAACCAGGACTAAACCTGGACTAAACAAGGACTAAACCTGGACTAAACCAGGACTAAACCAGGACTAAACCAGGACTAAACCTGGACTAAACCAGGACTAAACCAGGACTAAACCTGGACTAAACCAGGACTAAACCAGAACTGAAACCAGGACTAAACCAGGACTAAACCAGGACTAAACCAAGGACTAAACCTGGACTAAACCAAAACTAAACCAGGACTAAACCAGAACTGAACCAGGACTAAACCAGGACTAAACCTGGACTAAACCAAAACTAAACCAGGACTAAACCAGAACTGAACCAGGACTAAACCAGCACTGAATCAAGATTAAACCAGGACTAAACCAGGACTAAACCAGGACTGAACCAGGACTAATTCAGGACTGAACCAGGACTAAACCAGGACTGAACCAGGACTAAACCAGGACTGAACCAGGACTGAACCAGGGACTGAACTAGAACTAACCTAGGGACTGAACCAGGACTTTACTTTTACATCTTGCAGCCAGATTAGATTAAAGTATTTATTCGGCTTTTCGTTGAATAGTGAAGATTATCAATTAAGTGTCTAATCTTGACCCCGTGACCCCAGAGCGTAACAGCACAAGATCCCGCAGTGTGTCCAGAGGAAGCAGCGCTTACATCACAGTCTTATCAGTCGTCTGAGGTCAGCGCTCTGGGTCACTCCGAGGAAATACTGCACTTTTCAACGAATTAAGACCAGATAGTGGAGGACTGTCAAAAGTAGTGAAAACCAGATTCTAACCAATAATAAAACAGTGTCAGAATCAGAGTATCGAGTTTGAACTGAGACTAAAACAGAATCTCAGGTCTAAACAAAAATACCACTGGATTTCTCGATAAAAAACACTGGATATTTTGTTTATGGCACATTAATAGACAATTAGTTGTGGGCTGTGACGATGGAACCGACTCAAACTCCGATTCCGACAGCTCCAGACAGAGCGGTTCTAGTTCAGGAGAGCTCGTTCTGTGGCGTAAGTCTGTGTCAAGTCATTTCAAAATCAGACTGACCCCAAGTTTCAACAGTTTGTGTAAAGGTTCAACGTCCAACAGGTCAAACCCACTCAGAGCACACAACCTCCTCCCCACACCGAAACGACGACAGAAAGGTTCATTTTAAGAGCACGATTTCTGAATATTCAAAGTGACTAAACCAGGACTAAACCAAGATGAAAACAGGACTAAACCAGGACTAAACCAAGATGAAAACAGGACTAAACCAGGACTAAACCAAGATGAAAACAGGACTAAACCAGGACTAAACCAAGATGAAAACAGGACTAAACCAGGACTAAACCAAGATGAAAACAGGACTAAACAGGACTAAACCAAGATGAAAACAGGACTAAACCAGGACTAAACCAAGATGAAACAGGACTAAACCAGGACTAAACCAAGATGAAAACAGGACTAAACCAGGACTAATTCAGGACTAAACCAAAACAAAACCAGGACTAAACCAAGATTAAAATGTGGCTAAACAAGACCAAACCAACATTAAAACAGGACTAAAAGGGGACTAAACCAGGACTAAATCAGGACTAGACCACATGACTACAGGAGGACCAAACCAGGACTAAATCAAGACCTGACCATGGGATTCACAGAGGGACTAAACCAGGACGAAACCTAGATTAAAAGGGGACTAAAGCAGGACTAAACCGGCACTAGACCATAAGACTACAGGGGGAATAAAACCAGGACTAAACCAAAAGTAAAAGAGGACTAAACCAGAACTAAGCCAGGACTAAACCAGAACTAAACCAGAACTAAACCAGGACTAAACCAGGACTAAACCAGGACTAAACCATAGGACTATATCAGGACTTGACCATGAGATTCACAGAGGGACTAAACCAGAATTAAACCAAGATTAAAAGAGGACTAAAGCAGGACTAAACCAGGGCTAGACCATAGGACTACAGGGGGAATAAAAGCAGGACTAAACCAAGAGTAAAAGGGACTAAACCATGACTAAACCAGGACTAAATCAGGACTAAACCATAGAACTACAGGAGAATTAAACCATAGGACTATATCAGGACTTGACCATGGAATTCAAAGAGGGACTACACAAGGACTAAACCCATATTAAAAGGGGACTAAAGCAGGACTAAACCAGTGCTAGACCATAGGACTAAAGGGGGACTAAAACTAGGACTAAACCAAGAGCAAAAGGGGACTAAATTAGGACTAAACCAGGATTAAAACATATGACTACAGGGGGACTAAACCAGGGCTAACCCAGGACTAAACCAGGACTAAACCAGGACTAAACCTCCAGACTACATGGCGACTAAAATGAGGGACTGAACCAGGACTAAATCAGGGACTGGACCAGAGTGACATGGTTCATACGGCACAAACATTTCAGAGATGTACTTTGTTGCTCGATCATGGAGAAGAGACTTGCTGCTTTCACGTCTTTTCTTTTCACAAGTAAAAGTACAAACTTGACTGATGCAGTAATCTAGACTCTAGTAACACGAGGGCTCCCCGTGTGTATGTGTGTGTTTAGAAAATAATATATTAAGTTTTAAGAGCACGATTTCTGAATATTCAAAGTGACTAAACCAGGACTAAACCGCGATGAAAACAGGACTAAACCAAGATGAAAACAGGACTAAACCAAGATGAAAACAGGACTAAACCAAGATGAAAACAGGACTAAACCAAGATGAAAACAGGACTAAACCAAGATGAAAACAGGACTAAACCAGGACTAAACCAAGATGAAAAGTCCTGATTTTAAGTCTGCATTTACTCCTGGTTTAGTCTTAGTTTAAAAGTGCCACTTGTAAATGAAAGCCTGTATTTTAGTTTTATTATAACAGTTAGAAATGAGAAATGATTGAGTCAAAAAGTACATTCAAATATCAAAATAAAATGTTGATGTCACGTGTTTTGGTAAAACGCTGCAGTTGTTATTTATCATTTGGCTGTTTAATTAAGTTCAGTCTTAACACAAAATTCTACTTTTCTGCTTTCCCAAACTCACACTTTCAACAGAAACAAAGCAAACGAGCTCTGAAGAAGTGTCCGTGTGCCCTGATTTCAAATGTGACGATGTCTTTCCTCCCCTGTGATACTAGATAAGATAAGAGAGCGTCATTATTACAGCTTCTGCAACAAACACATCTCCTCTTTTACTCTACAGTCTGTAGTTTAGATCTCTACAAACATGTTCTGAAATGTCCCTGTTACGTCAGATGCCCTCCCTGTGTCTCCGCGGGGTTTTATTCTGCACAAATAACTCTTCATGATGTAGTTTAGAGCTTTAGATGTTCTGAAATGTGATTCTTGTTTTGGTTTGTCAGTTCAGACTCCGGTGTTTTTGTCAGTTCTTCTAAGACGTGTTGAAATGTGAACTTTGAACCCAATCCTCGTGTTAAATCAGTTGCCGCTTCTTAGATTTTTCCTCCAAACCGCAGAGGATGATTCATATATTTGAGACACACGTGAACTTGTCTGTACTCACATCCTCTCCGTTTGCTCAGTCTGCTGTTCATCCATGGAACCCAGGTTTTCTCCAGAGGGTTCTGGGTGAGCGGAACGTGCCCCTTTGACATGACAACTGTTTCAAAACGTCCAAATGATTCAGACTTTCAGATCTGTTCTCTAAAATGTGTGAATGAAAGCAGAGCAGAGGCGTCCATGCAGCTGATCTGACCATTTGAACTTATCACAATCGTGAGGTCAAAGGGGGAGGGGCTGCGGGTAATCCTCTACCGCGATTGGTTCAGAACAGATGACAGGGAAGGGCGGGATTGGACGGAGAGCCTGTCGGTCGAGCTACCTGAGCGACACTGGCCAATCAGAGACGGGCTGAGGAGGCGCACCTGCTGCCCCCACGCTCCAAACAACCAGAGTCTGAGCTGAGGGCTTTCATTTTCACTTCACTGGAACAGGACTAAACCAGGACTAAACCAGGATTAAACCAGGACTGAACCAGGACTAAAACAGGACTGAACCAGGACTAAATCAGGACTAAACCAGGACTAAACCAGGACTGAACCAGGACTAAACCAGGACTAAATCAGGACTAAACCAGGACTAAAACAGGACTGAACCAGGACTAAAACAGGACTAAACCAGGACTAAACCAGGACTAAAACCAGGACTGAACCAGGACTAAATCAGGACTAAACCAGGATTAAACCAGGACTAAACCAGGACTGAACCAGGACTAAACCAGGACTAAAACAGGACTGAACCAGGACTGAATCAGGACTAAACCAGGACTAAACCAGGACTAAACCAAGACTAAAACAGGACTGAACCAGGTCTGAACCAGGACTGAACCAGGACTGAAACAGGACTAAACCAGGACTAAACCAGGACTAAACCAGGACTGAACCAGGACTAAACCAGGACTAAACCAGGACTAAAACAGGACTGAACCAGGACTGAACCATGACTGAACCAGGACTAAACCAGGACTAAACCGGGACTAAAACAGGACTGAACCAGGACTAAATCAGGACTAAAAACAGGACTAAAACCAGGACTAAAACAGGACTAGAACAGGACTAAAACAGGACAAAACTAGGACTAAACCAGGACTAAACCAGGACTAAACCAGACTGAACCACAAATGAACCAACCAGGAACAAAACTGCAGCTATAAGAGGGCCAAAACCAGACTGAACCAGACTGAACCAGGACTAAACCAGGACTAAACAAATCTGACTAAACAGTGACTGAAAAAGGACTAAACCAGGTCTAAACCAAAGCTATACCAGGACTGAACCAGGGCTAGGCCAGGAACTAAAAAATGAACTAAACCAAGACTGAACCTGGACCAAGCCAGGTCTAAACCAGGTCTAAACCAGGACTAAACTAGGGACTAGACCAGGACTAAACTAGGGACTAGACCAGGACTAAACTAGGGCTGAACAAATCTGACTAAACAATGACTAAAACAGATCTATAACAAGACTGAACCAGGACTAAACCAGGACTAAACCAGACTATAACAAGACTAAATAAAATGATCCACCAGTGGAACAAGACTTTTTGTACTTAAAATATGAAAATGCATCTTGCTGCAGTTAAGAGAAGAAAAACAACAACTTTTGCACTTTTTTCAATATCATGATATCGTATTGTTAAAGTTCTCACAGTAATATCATGGACCATCACAATATATCGAATTACAAGTCTCTTTGTTTAAATGAAGAGTTATGGTGCAGCAACAGCTAAAAAAGGACAAAGAACTACATAGACCATGATCCTTTGCTCCACTTCAGCATAGATTACAAGAAGAAATAACAGTTCTAACACTTTTAAGTCTTAGTTGTTTGGATTAAGTCTTGTCAAGACATTTTAAGAGGAATATTCACAGTTTTTTTTTAGCCTTCACAAAATATCACAATAAATATCGTACAGTGAGATGTATATCATGAAAATATCGTACAGAAATTTGGATATTTTTACATCATTAACACTTATAATAACTACACCTTATTTAGCCTTAGTAAAGCATGAACAAAGACTTAATTAATAAAGAACAAAGACTTAATTCATTATTATTCACGCTAAGTAACTACTTAATTACTACCTTAATTAGCATTTAACTTACACTTAATTCTCCTGTGCTGCAAATAGTTACTCTTACTTAATTACTCATGAACTAAACATTTGTGTGTTTGTGTCACAATAAATATGGTACCGTGAGATTCATACAGCGACGATATCGTATAATGAGACTTGAATATCGTTACACCCCTAGTTTTGCTTAATGACACAATGGCAGCATGCACTTATTTGATTGATTAAATGTTTGCACTTTCTTTTTGGTCCATGTGCTTTTAAACTTGTTTTGATCCAGCTCAACATCATGCTAAACACATCTGTTCTGTCCTTTTTAAGTATCGACACCTGTTCAAACGAGTATCTAGTTTCGATATTAGTTTTAGTATTGTTTAGTATGTGATTTTCAACACTCTTGACAGTCCTTCCTGTTTTACAAGTACAATGTCTTTAAAATGTCACTGAAGTCCAGAGCAACTGAAACTCAATGTACTCTCTGGACAAGAGCACCCTCTAGTGGCAATAACGTCAACTGCTTCTTTTCCAACAGACATTCTCAAAAGTGAAAGTTACAGGAAATGTTCTGATCAGCATTACATTTAAAATCCACCAACATGTGTTCAGTACCAAAAAAAGGCTCCATATAACTCTATTTCAGATCTTTAAATTTCAGATCTCTATGTTTCCTCATCACACACAGACAAACAGACCTGGAGTTGTGTTTTGTCTCATTCACACATGTTAAACACACAAACCCTGCAGAGTGTGTGCTGTGTTTAATCTCCACACACCTTCACTAGAATCACTGGAATGATTTCAGCCCTGGAACTGCTGATCTGTTGATTTGTTTTTATTTTGAGTTTGTGCCAAGAGACAAACAATAATCACAAAACAACAGAAAGGCACATTTCTCGAAAAAGAGTAGAAAGAAAAAAAAACTTATATTAACCCACCTCTGTTCATGATATAGTTTCAAAAATTAAAAAATGATCTGGATGCTTCTGTATATCTTTTTTCTTGTATTGTTCTGTATTATGGTCGTACAAACTAATGATAATGAGGAAGCACACAAGTTTATCGTTACTTTACAGTAGATGTAAATCTGAAGTAAATGTAAAAAGTTAGCATGGAAACAACCACAACAAGACATTTGGAGTTTTGGAGATGTAGACAGACTCATAATAAAGACAAGAAGTGAGTCAAACATGTGAATGAAACAAAACACAACTTCATTACGCTGGAGCTTTAAGGAAAAGTGCCAAAGATCTAGTGTTAGGTCGTGTGTGTGTGTGTGTGTGTGTGTGTTTGTGTGTGTGTTGTTTACTTGTGACACTGTGAATTAATTGAAATAAGTGTTGTTGCGTGTCAGAGCTTGTGTTTGTGTTTGTGTTTGTGCTTGTATCTCACACACACACAGAGACACTGTTCGACACTGCACACAGAGCCACATCACAGAGTTACACTGCACTGCACAGAGTTAAACCAGAGTGTCACACACACAGAGTTTTAGATACACAGAGACACACACAGAGTCACACACACACAGAGTCACACACACACACACACACAGAGTCACACACACACAGAGTCACACACACACACAGAGTCACACACACACACACACACACACAGAGTCACACACACAGAGTCACACAGAGTCACACACACACACACACACACAGAGTCACACACAGAGTCACACACACACAGAGTCACACACACACACACAGAGTCACACACACAGAGTCACACAGTCACACACACAGAGTCACACACACACAGAGTCACACACACACACACACACACAGAGTCACACACACAGAGTCACACACACAGAGTCACACACACACACACACACAGAGTCACACACACACAGAGTCACACACACACAGTCACACACACACAGAGTCACACACACACAGAGTCACACACACACACACAGAGTCACACACACACAGAGTCACACACACACACACACAGAGTCACACACACAGAGTCACACACACACAGAGTCACACACACAGAGTCACACACACACAGACAGAGTCACACACACACACAGAGTCACACACACAGAGTCACACACACAGAGTCACACACACAGAGTCACACACACACACACAGAGTCACACACAGAGTCACACACACAGAGTCACACACACAGAGTCACACACACACACACACAGAGTCACACACACAGAGTCACACACACAGAGTCACACACACAGAGTCACACACACAGTGGTTTAGATTCACTCTCACACTCTCACTTCTCATTCAATCATCGTCTTGAACCAAAACACCAAATTATAACATTCTTTTTTTCTGCACAAGAAATCCCTTTTTCCAGTGGAGGGTCCAGCACCTGCCACACACACACACACACACATACACACACACACACACACACACGCACGCACACATACACACGCACACACACACATACACACACATACACACATACACACGCACGCACACACACACGCACGCACACACACACACACGCGCACACACACACACACACACACACACACACACACACATACACACACACACGCACATGCACACACACATACACACACACACAAACACACACATACACACACGCACATGCACACACACACACATACATACACACACGCACACACCCCACACACACACACACATGCACACACACACACACACACCATTTGTGCTATGTCTCTCTCAACTGTGCCCCCCTCTCATTCTCTCTTTCTTTCACCTGTGCCCTCTTCCTCTCTCCCTGTTTTTCCCTCTCCTTCTCTTCCTCTCTCCCCCACTTCCTCTCTCCTTCCCTCACCTCTCTTCCTCTCTCCTTCCCTCACCTCTCTTCCTCTCACCCCCCCTTTCTTTATCCCCCTTTCTCACCTATGTTCTCTTCCTCTCTCCTTTTCTTCCTCTCTCTCCCCCTCTCTCTCTCATTTGTGCTCTCTTCCTCTTTCCCTCTCTCAGCCTTTCTCTACCTCTTTCTCTCACTTATGCTCGCTCCCCCTTTCCCTCTCACTCTCTCTCTCCCTCTGTTTCTCTCTCTCTCTCACCTGTGCTCTCGCAGCGTCTCCGTATGCGTCTCCCGGGAGCTCTTGTCGTTTTCACGATCATTCTCTCC